CCACCACTGCCCTGGGCAGCCCTTTCCAGGAGGAATTTTCCCAATATCCAACCTAAACCTCCCCAGCACAGCTTGAGGCTGTTTCCTTTGCCCTGTCACTTTTTCCCTGGGAAAGCTTATGGGAGCTGGAACATCACCAGTGGCTGTTCCCACCAGGATGAGGAAGGATTGTTCATGGTTCTGAGAGAGTGTTAGTAGGTCTTCTGGCATTTTTGATGCTTTCTAAAGGCACAGTCTAGCAGGGAATGTGGGGTTATTGAGGGAAAGCCTTGTGCTGTCTTAGTGGGAGGAAAAGGTGACTGGGAACAGTGAAAACCAGTGATGTCTAATGATGAAGCTGCCCTGGGGCTTGCCCTGTGTGCACTGGGTTTGCTGTTTCCACTTTCCCAGTCCTTCTCCTCTGCCCACATATCCATGACTGGCTACCTGCCTGGCTCCCCATGGAGCCCAGACCAGCTCCTGTTCTGTGTGTGGGAGCTCACTGTGCTCTCTTCCCCAGAGCGTGGCTGACTCCTCCTGGATCACAGAGTTGCTCTGGACCTTCTTCGTTCCCTTCACAGTATATCAAGTAAGGTACTACGTCTCTCTTTTCTGTTTGGGGCAGGGTTGGGGTTGGGCAGGGCCCTGACGTGTCTGTGGCAGTAAGAGATCCCTTGGTCTGTGCTGCTGGCACCCTCCCTGGGTGTCTCAGCAGGGCTGTGGTTGGCACCATTTGGGTCTGGCCAGGTCCAGCTCCTGGACCTGCTTCTGGCTCCTGTGCTATGTTGGGAAAGGAGAGGAGTCTGTCTCTCCAGGCTTTTAGGTGATTTACTCCAGGGATGATTCCCTCAGGCAGCACCAGCCTCCAGTGTCTGTCTGTCTGTCCCTGCAGTTCCTCAGGAGCTGCAGGGGTGGCCCAGGGGGATGGTGCAGTTGTCCAGACCCCTGTCATGGGCCCAGGAGAGCCCGGTCTGGCTGAGTAGCTTTGGTGTAATAAGGGTTCCTAGGCAGCGGAAGGGGCTGGGAGTCAAATACAGGGGTTGAGGTATTTCAGCGAAGAAAAGCCCTGTGCTGGAGCTTTTTCTGGCTGTGTCTGCCTGGAGTCTGGGTGACCTGTTTTCTACTCCCATGTAAATGGCCGTGGCTCCTCACTGGGGCCTTTCCGGGAACTGTGGGAGATCCTTCGCATGTTACGTGTGAGAGCTAACAGAGCTCCTGCGAGCCAGTTCTGTCTCCTGAGCTGAGCCATGCCCTGGGTTTGGGAGTGGGTGTTGGCATTTGATGCTCTGGTGGGGAGAGGTGTGGGGTGAGCAGGGAGTGTGGAGTTGGGGGCGTGCCCAGCACAACTGCTCCCAGCAGGTGCTGGCCCCAAGGGCCATTCCCCATGGGTCTGGCTCTAAGGGCTGCTTCTAGTGGGGCTGGATCCATGTGTTTTTGTTCCCACTCAGATGGATGCCGTCTGTCCCGAGGCGAGCGGATGAGCCAAGTGAGGACTTTGCGCTCCGAGTTCAGGAGGTAGGAGAGTGATGTGGGAGAGGACTGTAGGACTCATGCAGTTGGGGATGGGCACAGAGGAGAGTGGAGGGCAGGCAGAATTGCAGAGGGCATTTCTGAATAAGTTTGTGTGATGGGAGCTCTGGCTCATATTTATTGCCCCTTACAGGTACTCAATTTTTCCATGGCCTATTTGCCACCCTCCTTAGCCTTTCTGCAGTTATCAGGACTTTGTCCATGTAGTTCAGACCTTTCACTCCCCTTTCATGATGCCACAAATCAAATAAGGCAATTGTTTCTCCACCCTTCTTGTATGTGCTGGGTACTTCACAGCTCCTGTACCAAAGGTCTCCTATCTCCCCGTCAGCCCATTTTGGCAGGATGATACTGCTACTCCTGCTCCTTCATGTGCTCCCTGCAACACTGAAATGCATCCCTGAGGCCCTGGAGAAATCAGTTCCCAGCCCTCTTGCCCTTGCTGTGGCTCCATGCAGGCCCGTACCCCTGACATGCTCCCCCAGCGTTACGTGTCCTCTGTGTGTTGTGTGATTCCCCTCTGCGTTCCACAGCTCTTGGCCATGGAGCTGGGTGTGGTATCCACACGGATCACCGCTGCCGACAGAACTGAGCACATGAAGAGGCTGCGGCACACGTCACGGCTGCCCTTTGCCCCAGGTGGGTGTCCGGGGAGGGGGGTTATGGAGTCCTGGGGGCGTCCTGGATGTGGAACTGCCACCTGGGCTTGCCTTTTTGAGGGCCTCAGTCTGCTCTCAGTGACTCGTGCGTGGAGTGGGAAGAAGAGGAGGAGGAATGTTGGGGCGCTCCCTGGGAGAGGGGGCTGCTGGTGTGCTCTGGTCTGGGGCTGTACCTGGCGGGGGGGGAGGGAGGGGCCCACACTCCTGAACACAGACACGGTGGGCGTGGGTAGGGGGTCCAGCTTTCACGTCACACCAGTTCGTACCAAAGTGGGGCTGGTGCAGCTGACAGGCCTTTAGTCCCCCTCCTGTGCCCACTGTTCTTTCTCCTGCAGCCTCGAGTCAGCGCCTGCTAGCCCAGCCCAGGGTGCCCCCCCGCCTGCCTGGAGGTGCTCCTGAGGACATGCAGGTCGTGGCCATGGCACAGCAAGTCAAGGAGGTGCTGCCTCACGTGCCTCTGGAGGTCATCAGGACAGACCTGGGTGAGCAGTGCTGGGGTGTCAGCAGGGACACAGGGGCACCTTCTGTGGTGTGTGGGACCCAAAAGCAGAACCGTTGTCCGTGTTGCACTGGAGCACAGTGGCAGCCAGGATGGAGTGTCCTGATCTCTTAAGGGATCCCTTTGTCCTCACAGCTCAGACCAACTGTGTGGACACCACGATTGCCAACTTGCTGGAGGGGAGAGTTTCCTTCTTCCCTGAGAGTCAGGAGGCTGGTACTGACCTGCCCACCCTGTCTACCTCCCAAGCTGCAGCTGCTTCTGGCATCCAGGGCTCCGTGGCTGCGTCTTCTGCCAAGGTACTGTGGGCTTGTGCATCTCCTTGGTCTGGTGGCTTGTGTTCAGGACTAGCCAGGGGCGTGGAGCACTGACCTGACATGCCAGGGCCTTCCAGAGCCAAGGAGGCTCCTGCTTTGTCCGTCTCCTGACGGCTCCCGTGCTTTCTCTTCCAGACAGCTACCAAGCAGTTTGCAAAGTCCCCCGTGGAGCGTCACCTGTCCTTGCAGGAGCGAAAACGAGCCTTGTATGACTATGCCAGGAGGTGAGAGCTCCCCTGGGCCCCTGCCAGGGCCTCCCATGCCTCACCCTGCCCAAGCCGTGGCCCCAACAGCACTCAAGATGCCCCAGGCTGTACCAGCCAGGTGGTCCCCAGCCCCTTCTACCCCTGTCCCAGCCCAGGGCTGAGGGAGGGGAGCAGGTGATTGTGTCAGATTTCCATGCATGCAGCCCCCTTCATTCCCAGAAGTGCTCTGTGCTCATAACTGCTGCCAGGCCTCTGGTTTTGGGGGCTGAGGGGTTGGAGCTGTGTGTCAGAAGCACTGAGGAACAGAGCTCAGCACAACCAGCCTCTCTGGGCCCCTTGGTGTGACTCATGTCTGGCTGACAGGATCCCCTGTGGGACTGGGTTTCTCTGGGGTCACACTGGTGCGCTGGCACCCTCTGTATGGCAGGACATTCCTGTTTGGCACCATGGACAGCGCAGTTAACCCCAGCGTGAGGGAACCTGTGCAGGATTTTGATGAGGCAAACCCTGGAACAGGTGACCAGCTTTGGTGACCTGGTGTTGTTTTAGAACGATACAGAAAACTGAGGATGAATTTGAGGGGAAGTTAAGTGTGCCTCGGCTTGCTGGGCACTGAATGGCTGTGCTGAGGGAGCCATCCTGTCAGGAAACTCTAACTGGGAAACCTCATCCTGACAGCTAGGCAAGGACCTGCTGGGGAGCAGGGGCCGGTGCTGGTGGGGACAGTGCGGATGATCCCTGCAGCCCCTTGCAGGCCTTGCTTGGTCCGTGCTCCGTCGGGCTTGTCCCCAGCAGGGACTGTATCTGCCCTGTGGCTCTCCTGGAGCAGCTCTGGCCATTGTCACCCATTTCCATGGGCTCCAGGTGAGCTTGGAACGGAAGCCAAGGTGCAGCCTTTAGGCCCTGCAGTGTGAGAGTCACTCCCGCTGCCTGGCCCTTCGTGTCCCGGACCCTCGGGGCCGCCACGTCTCTCCAGCAGCCCCTCCCCGGGCAGGCTCACGGGGGGACATTCGGGCGGTCCGGGGGCGGTGGTGTCTGAGGGCGTTCTCTCCCGCAGGCGGTTCGCCGAGAAGCACGGCGCGGCAAGGGCCGGCGGCAGCCTCTAACGGGCCGGTGACCGGCGGCCCTGTCCCTCCCCCCCCGGCCCGGAGCCCGTGACCGGCCGGAGCCGCCCGGGCCGGCGGCGGCACCGGGAGCGCGCGGGCCCCGCGGGGACGGGACGGGCGGGGCGTGGGCGCCCTCTGGCGGCGAAAATAAACGGCGGCAGCGTCCGGCGCGGCTCGGGCTGTGCGGGCACCGGGGCGGGGGGCGTGGCGGGGGCGTGGCGGGGGCGTGGTCAGTGGGGCGGGGGCGGGCCTGGCCGGGCTCCGTGCGGGGTCGCACGCGCCGCGGCCGCCGCCTGCTCGCGCGCCGCACGTAGGCGCCGCTTAAAGGGGCAACGCGGTAGGGCGGCCGCCCTCGCGGCCGGGCGGGCTGCGGCCCGCGGGCGGGGCCGGCGCCCTTTTAAGAGACGGTCGCTCGGTGCCGGTGGTTTTATTTACATGGGGGCTCGCGGGCGTCACGTGACTGTCAGCGGCGGGGGCTGCGCGCGGAGCAGCCGCGGGGCCATGGCGGGAACCGGCGACGACGGTCCGGGGGCACCGGCCGTTCTGGGCTGTGGGGAATCGGGGCGGGCTTGGGGGGTAATGGAGGACCGGGACGGGCAGGGGGGCACCGGGGGGTCCGGTGGGTACCGGGGGCTTCGGGGCTCTGGGGAGATTAGGGGTCCCAGCGGGACTACCGTGCACGCGTGGGGGCTTGGGCTGATGTGACCCAGGGATGGGGACGGGTCAGGGGGTAGCCCGGGCCGGGGCCCTGGGGGGGCTGACATGCACCGGGCATCTCAGAGGTGCTGATGAGCACCGCGGGGGCTGGGGCAGAGGCAGGCGGGGGTCCCGAGGGAGGAGGGCACGCCGAGAAGCAGCACTGGGGTGCGTGGGACGTCCCGCGTCGGGAACCGTGCTTGGTGCTCCCGCGATTTCTGGGCCGGGGTGTGGGGTGTGCCGGAGAGGGCGATGGGATGGGACAGGGTGCGGGGATGGGCGCAGGACAGCGCGGAGGCTGACGGCCCCTCCAGGCTCCTGGGTGGAGCTGCGGTGTGGCCCAGGTTGTCCCGAGCCGGCGCCCTCGCCGTTCTCCTGCCACGCCGACGTGGAGCGGATGCTGCTGGAAGCCCAACTGGAAACGGAGAGCGGGGACGGGTGAGTTGCAAGGAGGAGCCGGGCTCCGGAGACTTGCCGGACCGGGTTGGGCTTGGTGACCGAGGGGGTCTGTTTGCAGGGCCCTGTTCGTGCTGGATGCTCCAGCCTGGGATGACAACGGAGCCGGCCAGGCAAGTGAGCAGTCGGAGGAGAGCGAGGTGCTGCCTGCACACAGCCAGCCCCAACCAGGCTGCCCCCACCCTCGGCAGGTAAGGGAGCTGTCCCCCACGGTGCCCTGCCACGCCCCCAGGCCCTGCTCTGACCTGCCCTGTGTCTCCTTCCAGTGGAATGTGCTGCAGGAAACCAAGCGGAGACAGCGACTCTTGCCAGCATCCCTGGGCTGGGCCTGTAGCCGCTGCCCTCGGTACCTGTCTCCAAAGTAAGTCCTGTGTCCCCCACCAGCATGTCCTGCTGTCCCTCATTCTGCTGTCCCTGTTCCCCCATTAACCCTGCACTTTTCCCAGGGAATTTGCCTTTGTGTGCTCCCCCCAGCCTGTGCTGTGGAGCCTGCAGGGAGGTGCAGTGGGGAGGAAGAAGAGACTTTTCAGTTCAGAGCTGCTGCTTCTCTTCATCCCCTCGCTGCTGCTCAGCCACCTCCTGACCCTGGGGCTGGGGTGAGTGTCAGGGGTGGTCTCACCCTGGGGCTGGGGTGATTGGGGGCCCCACCCATGCTGCTGGGGGTCTGGTCTCAGGAGCACAGGCAGACTGGGCCTATAGTGGGTGTCTATGCAGTCATGGGTTTTCTGGGGACTGCTGGCTGCCCTGATCCAGAGGAATGTCCCCACAGGAAGCTTGGGGAGGGGGAAATGCTCCTGGATTTGCAGTCCTGCACCACTTCTCCCAGCAGCTGCAGTGGACTGCTGCCATCTCCCCTTCCTCCGGCCTTATTGGGGCCCAGCGGGCTGTCCCCACGCTCACGCCTCACGGTTGCTCTCTCTAATCCAGGATCTACATTGGGAAGCGTCTAGCAGCCTCCTCGGCCAACCCCCTGTGAGGAGCCAGGTCAGCACGCGCTGCCCCGCTCGGTGTGCAGGGGGAGCCCGGCACCGGCACAGCCCGACGGCTCCCAGGCTCCGTGTTTGTGGCACAAGGTGCCGCCTCCCCGTGTACCTCCTCTAGCCCCCGCCCTGGGAGCTGATCCCTCTCTCCCACGTAGACGGGAACCTGATGACAGCAGCATCCAGCCGCAGGCAGACCCTGCCCTCCCCAGCCCCTGCTTACGGGTCCGGGTCCCCTGTAACACAGACTGTAAATATGGCTGAGCCCCTGTGAATAAAGAGCCCTGTGCCAGCTCGGGGGCCCAGCAGTGAGTCCTGTGCCTGTGCCAGGTTGCTACAGCTCAGCTCAGGGAGTGACTGTCGGGCTCCCAGGGGGCCTTCCCTGCTGCAGGAGGGCGAGTCCCTGTGCTTCAGGGTGCTGGGGTGGTGCTGGCCGGGGATGGCCCTGGGTTGGCCTGGGTGAGCAGGGGCATTGCTGGGGCTCACGGGGTTGCCCAGCTTCCACACAGGTGCCAGCTGATGTGCTTGCCCTTTATTAGCTGTGGGTCTGGGCTGGTGTGGCAGGGGTTGAGCTGTGGCAGAGGCTGGTCGGGGCAGCAGAACCTGCCTGATGCAGGTGCCACGTGTTGCCAGGAGAGGTGGAACTGCACAGCACGAGGTTGCCTAGGCCCACAGGCACACCCAGCTGTGCTGGCTCCTGTGCAGTCACCGTATCTGGGCCAGGAGCGTGTCCCAGTGCTGCAGGATAGGGTGGACAGATGAGGGACGGGAGCTGCCTCTGGAGTGGAGAACAGGAGGGGAGGGAATTGCTCACAAATGCTGCTGGGAAGTTGGTTGGTTCCCTGCCTGTGGTGCAGTGCAGGGACAGTTCAGGTGGAGGGAGGGCACAGTGGCCTTATGGGCACAGTGGCCAGATGGCTGGGGGGGCTGCTTGGGTGGGCCTCAGCACAGCTCTGGTGGCAGAGTTCTGACATGGGCTGGAGCAGAACTGCTGCATCTGAGCAGTAAGGTGAGGGCTGGTAAGAACACTGGGGCAGGGAAGCGTCTGGAGGCAGGTGGGTCCCTATCCCAGGGGGCACCTGGAGGGCAATAGCCAGAGTTGGCAGGAGACAGGGTGGCAGTGCCCGGTGCCACCCTGGGCATTGGGTACACAGGGATCCCATGGCTGCACAGGATGCTCTGGGTGTCAGTGCTGCAAGGGTGGTTCAGCAGGTGAGGGTCAAGCAGGGCCGTGGGTCTAGCAGCCAGCTGGGCACAGGAGCATCATGGGCAGGGGTGGCACTGGGTCAGAGCTGTGACATTCGCTTGGACTTGGGGAGTGGCAGCGGCGGTGACTTGAGGCCTCTGTTCCCATCCGCTGTCAGGGGTGTGAAGGCCTGTGAGCAGAGAAAGATGTTATAGAGGGTGGGAGGATTGGAGGCTCGTCCAGCTGGTACCTCCCCTCCAGTACCTTCCCTCCAGCTGTGGCGTCACTCTGCTCCAGGAACGTCTCATACACTGCAGGGCTGATCCTGCGGGGCAGCGGTGGGACCTTGCTGGCACTTTTCAGGCGGCCACCGAAACCGGTGGGAGGCAGAGACAGCCCTGTGCAGGCAGGGGAGGTGGGCTGGGGGGCTCGGCCAGCCTGGGGGACCCGTGGGGCCCATCAGTGTGCCCGAGGCTGTCAGTTCCCAGGGATGCCATGGGAGGTGAGCCCAGCCAGGAGCAGGGGCCAGCTCCCACTGGGAGCTGCTCTTGGCACCAAGGTCTGGGATTGATGGCCACCCCACGGGGGGAGGGGGTGAGGATGCATCTGCTGGGGTGCAGAGCTGGGGGGGCACAGCCCTGCTCATGGGGCTGTTGGGGCTCAGGAAGGTGCCCCCCAAGCTGTGCTGGGGTGGGGTGTACCTGCAGCACTGGGCTGAGCACCAGCAGCAGCTCGGCTCGACGGGGGCTGTTTGCTGTCATAGCTGCCCAGGCTGCTCTCACTCATGTTGCGGGACAGTCTCCACTTCTCATCCTGGGGCACAGGGGGAGGCTTAACACCTCGAGGGGCCAGGTTGGATGGCAGCCCTGTGTCTCCAACCTTAGGCCCCTCCAGGCCCTGCTCCTGCCCTCTCTGCAGCAGGGGCTGCCACCAGCCCCATGAGGGGTCCTGTTTGGGCTGGAGTCTGCTGCCAGGTGGGTCAGGGAGTCTGCATGCAATGGGGAAGTGCAGGGTGGGGGGGCCGAGGGAGGCACCAGCATCACCTTGGGCTCTGGCAGCTCCGAGATGGACTGGCGCACGTCCTGCCGCCGGGACCCAAAGAGGGAGCTGGAGCGGTTCTCCCGGTGCTCGGTCCTGCAGTCCTCACTCTCGGAGGGGCGGGGAGCGGGCTTTGGGGTCAAAGGTGCCTCTGTGCTGTGGAGCAACCGGGGCAGGTGAGGGGCGGGGGATGGCAGGGGAAGGGGGAGCAGGGCTACGCCACGGGCTGGCCGGAGCATTGCCAGGAGCAGCCACCCTCAGCCAGGCACCAGCACTGTCTGCAGCAGAGCTCAGTGGGGGATGTTTGTGGAGGACACATCGGGGTGGCTCAGGTGACAGTGGTGTCCAGGCGAGCCTGGGGGCTGCACATGGGGTGTCTCTCCTCCATGCCCTCTATGGGGACAGGGCTGCTGTGGTGGCATGGCATGATGGACCCCTGAGATGTGCTTGACATAAAGGAAAGGCAAGAGGGTAGAGGACTGGGGAGGTGGGAGAGAAGCACCTGGGGCAGAGCAGAGTGAAAGGCTCAGCAAGGAGGGGTGAGGGCAGTGAGAGCGGGTGGCCAGCACTCCCCACCACAGCACTTGCCTGGCTCCAGCATGGCTCAGCAAGTCGCAGTCGGGTCCCCAGGCCATGGACCGGGGTCGTCCGCTCCGCCGGTCCTCAAAGAAGACCTGAGAGCACAGGAAGCCTGAGACACAGCCAGGAGGGATGAGAGGGCAGAGCCTCGCGATCCTTCCTTGGGCTCAGCCAGGGCCAGCAGTGTCCTCTGACCGGTCCTGCTTCTGTGCCAGTGCCAGCCACCCCATGGCAGTGCTGTGCCCCTCCGGGGGCAGGCAGGGACCTGGAGGTTCCCCATGCACAGTGCCCCTCACCCTGTTCCTGCCCCAGCCGTGGCCCCATCCAGCTGCTCCCTGCTGCCTCACACCTTGGTTTGTCCGATATCACTGCAGTGCCATGCACTGCCCGTGTCCCCCAGCCCACCCTGTGCCTGTTGCCCTGGCACTCACCATCTCCCGCACGCCGTACTGGCTTTCCACCTTGGCCCGCAGCTGCTCGAAGCACTGCTCCATGCGCTCGTGGAAGGGCCGCAGGTCCTCTGTCACCTTCTGCCCGTGGATCCGGATCCCCTCTGCCAGCAGCGGGGTCTGTGGGAGAGTGAGGACAGGTCCCCCCGGGCCTGTGGGGCTCCCTGGGATGGGGACACCGGGCACCTCGGGGCAGGTTTCCCTGCCTGTACCTGCCAGGCGATCAGATCCTTCAGCTTCTCGATGTTCCCTGCATCCCCGGGGTGCTTTTTCAGGTAGGACTCCTGGAAAAAGGCCTGCAAGGACCCCCTTCAGTCCCACTGCCAGGCTGGCCCAACTCTACCCAGGATGGGGATGGCAGAGTGGTGCCAGCGCCTGTGGCCATCAGCCCCAGCTGTGCCTGGCCGGCCCCAGCACAGCCTCTGTGTGTCCTCACCGCCTCGTACTTGGCGAAGCCACCCATGACAGCGGGGTCCACGATGCCATTGAGCAGCATGGAGAGTGGGTTGATGGGCAGGCTGGGGTCGTTCTGGTGCCGGTTGATCTCACTCATGATTTTCTCATTGGTTCTCATCATTGTCTCAATGGCATTTTCCAGGGGGGAAATGACGGTCTGTGTGTGGGGAGGGGAGGTCAGTGCCTGCTGGCCCAGCCACCTGCCCCTCCTGGTTAGGGCTGGCAGGCTGGGCTCTCCCTGGCCCCACAGGAGAGACCCCAAGGGCTGAATATCTCACTCCATGAAGTTCCTCAGACCCTTGGCACTGGGTGCTTGGGGCTGAGCTGAGCGTTCACAGGGACATGCTGGCCATGCTGGCCCCTGCTCCAAGCAGAGACTGCCCCAAGGTCAGTCCTGTGGGCATGAGGCTGCAGTGGCTTAGAGGAAACCTGGTTAACCACTGGTGTCACTTTTGAGCTGTGCAGCAGTGGAGGGCACAACCTGAGCAACGTAGCAGAAAGGTGTGCAGTGCTTGTACAGCCATATGTCCATTTGCCCCCACCATCCTGTGACAGCACAGCCAGGGCATCCCAACAGCCCAGTCAGAGCATTGTGTGACAGCCCACTAGGGCACGTCACATCTCCATTGCTGTGGCTCCTGAGACTCCTGGGTGTTGGCCGAGCACCCACCTCTGACAGAGGCACAAAGCCCATGGCAGAGCCTTGGCAGCAGCTGCTAACACCCCTCCACCCTCTGCTGCTCCCCACAGGGGGTCCCTGCTGCCCACAGAGGAGAGGTGTGTTCTGGTAGTCCAGCCGTGCAAACCTGTCCCTGCTACCACGTTGGTGCTGCTGGCACCAGCACATGAAGGCTGTCAGTGCCTGGAGTGCCCGGAGGTCTCCATGCCCTGTGTCAGCAGAGGAACCCTTTCCCGTGGCCTGGCACAGCAATCCCACCTTGCACTGCCCCAGGATCAGCCCCGGTCCTGGGGCAGAGGGGCCAAGGCAATGCCAAAGGGGGGTCATGGGAGGGAGCTGGGAGCTGAGAGCCACGGATCTGGGGGCTCAAGCACTGAGTGGGCTGGACCAGGTCTGCACTGAGAACAGGGTCTGATGAGGGGTGAGAACCAGGGCAGAGGCTTAGATGGGCATGGGCAGGACGTGCTCCCTGTGCCCTGGCTTGAGGTCCTGGCAGGGCTGGGGGCTGGGAGCTGTGCTCACTGGGATCCTGGGAGGGCCCTGCTCCCGCCCAGCCCGCTCCTCACCGTGGTGGTGGCAGTCACAGCGAACCAGCGCAGGATGCCAGGCAGGGGATAGGCTGTCACAAAGGTTGTCCGCTCGATCCACATGTTCTGCCGGAAGGGCAGCAGTCACCCACCGCCCCCCTCACATCACCCT